AGTTCTCTATCGCCTTATAAGACTTAGGGGGAATACAGTTACTAGAAGCTTTGAAATCTACGCTATCCTAGCGTGAAATAAAGTTTTAACAGCAAATATAAAAGAAAATCAAGAAAAATATTAATAACATTAATTAAAAATGGCAATAAAAAGTGGTGCAATCAGTAAAGCAAATAAGAATAAGCTCCATCAATATATTATTTATTTTTCAATGGTAAAGTGACAAGAGGCCCAATATACTATTCGATAATTATCCCTCGTTGATATAATGTAGAGAGTTTAACAAGAAATATAAGTAGAACGCCTAGGGGGAAGAAACAAACAACCAAGCTTTGCTTTGAGTTGATGCAACCATGTTTATTGTCAGAGTCTGACTGAATGGACGCTCCCTATGTTATAAGAATAGATAATAAAAAAGGTACTTAGCTCAAGGAGGTATTGCAATGCCATTAACGAAATGTAAATCGGACAAGAAAAGAGAGAAGAATAAAATTATGGAATAATTTCAACGGGAAATAGTCATATGAATGTTTGGGCAACAAAATGTTAAATTAAAGATAGTAAATACGAAGCATAACTGGATTTCAATGAATATTGTTGATACTATTGTTAAAGAGATTCTCATTTCGTATGAAAGTACACGAAGAAGAGATTCGAAAGTCGATCTCACCAGAAGACGACGCCTGATTCCCGTTGTACTCCAGACGCTTAGCTTTAACACGGTGTTCAGGTCGACGAGAAATCCTTCCTCGCTTCAGGTAAAAACCATCACTAGGCTTACAGGCTAAGTCCTCTTCTTTTAAATAGAGGATCAACACTCTATCCTTCAATCTCTCAATCAAGTATAGCGTTGCTCACTTAGCAAGAGGGAAGGCATGATAGGACGATATAGGAAACGTGAATAGCCCAGGGCAGAAGGGGAGATACCAAAACTGTTTAGCACACGTTTGGTTAAAGGATAGGCTTACTTGTTTATTTGACGAGTTGTAATATGGTGCTACGAATGACGAGACTCACTGAT